CTCTGTTCCCGGCGTCCAGCTCAGATAGTGGGGAGTGGTGCGAAAAGAAGAGAGGTGCGAGCAGTCGTCCCTTTCGTAAACGGTCGCTGCCATTCGATTCACAATTACAATAGACTGCAAACATTCTCTCTTTTTCTTCAGATTTAGTAAGGGGAGTGCATGCGCGTGCGACGCGCGTGGACATTTGCGTGTCTCGGGCGTTTTGCTCGACGGACCAAGAAAAGAGAGAGACTGCTCGTAGTCTACAATTACAAGGCGTTAAGAAACGATTTTCACCCACATCGTGTAAGAACAGCTGAGACAAACAACTTTTTCTTTATTAGAGAATAATCAATTTGAACACCTATTGTCTTATTTTAAATCTAAGATCAAACATGAATTTTAAATAGTTTCTAATTGTTCTTCTGTTTCTAATTAATTTTTATCTAGTCTTTACTCTTTTAAAAAGTGTACTTCTTAATTACTTGTTTTCAGTGTTCTAATCGGCAGTTTTTTTAACTGGCCCTACTAAACAGCACCATCATTTTATTTATAGTACTCATTGTTAGTGTACTTTATATTTCACATGGTTGGTAGCCTTGGCTTCAATCCAGTCTTTACATTTTTACTCTTAGGGGAATGAGTGGTGTCAGCGTAAACCGTTGGAGTGCATGCTCTGTGAACCTTCCCGTTTTAGTTGTTCGGTAAGTGGTTCACGTCTGTATACATAACGTGGCCACTGCGGTAAGGGAGAGGTTTCTGCATAAAAATAAACAAATAATAAAACAATATAAAAACAGAAACAAAACAAGAAAGAAAACATTAAAAAAGACAACGATTCTGTAGGTTATTTTGGAAGCTTTCTGACGGTGCACAATCCTTGTAAAATGTGAATGAATTAATAAATTCAACGTTTTTATTGTAACCGGATCAAACTGCGTGATAGAAATGCTGATTGAACGTTATGCACTGTCAAGTCCACAAAAATAGCAAGGGAGTCTGATGGTCTTCATGACCGATTCTATGCAACTATTGTTAAACATTATAACAAAGAGTGTGAAAATTCCCTTAGCATCCTTTAAAAAAGGTAATGTTGAACATATGATCATTCGCAGATATCAGCTAAGCGATAAATAGGAACTAGTTAAGGCAGTTAAAAGTACCTACCTTAGGAGCCATTCGTTTCTCTTTTGATTTGTCAACAACTTCATAAAAGTGATCGCTGGACTCAATTCTGCTATAAAGTGGATCCTGCTCACTCGTGACCTCGTTGCTCTTCATTTCCCGTCCTTGTTCCAAAGATGAAGGATTTAAATTTTCCACAGGATCCTTACCTACATTCGAACCGTCTTCTGTGCAAGTAACTTGCAGGCTCTCATCCCGAGAAGCTGTTGTTTTACCAGACACGGCCGCTTTACTTTCTTTAACAAGCACCTCGGCGTAGACATGGTTCCTTTTCTCTTCTTGATCGTCACCTTTATCACACCTCTCCGTATTCTGCTTCAATGCTGATTGGTGTGCTGCGGTGTGATCATCATTTGGGAACGATTGCACTCCTTCTCCTTCGGAGCTGGATGGGCCTTCCCGGTCACACTTGGATTTTCGCTTACTTTCATCTACAACTGCATAGGCGTCGTCTTCGTCGTTTTCTCCAAAAGTCTTAATGGCAATATTTTCCAATTTATTAAAAGTACCTTTCGTTTTGTTTCTGCGACGTCGATGATAAAAAATGATGAAAAAGACAATCAAGAGAGCCAGTATGATAACAGCTAGAAGAATCAGCATGACTACAGTGATATCTGGAGACTCATCGATGACTTCCTCAGGACTAACTGCCGCTGAAAAAAAAAAGACAACGAAAAGTAAAAATTCTTTGAACTAGAAACCTCTAAATCACCCCATCCATCAGAAGTTAAGCCAAACCAAGAGCCATAATGGCTCTTGGCTAAACTGAACAAGAATTTCTTCTAAATTCTGTTTCACCTTGGCAGGTTACACAAGAAAGGCAATTTGATCGAACTAATGTGCGTTTCTAGCGTTTTCCCCAGAACCGCAGTACGAGTACGAATGTCAGTAGACGTTTACTGGGCGAAGTCGGTCAGTCAGTTTTCTCCAAGAATTACTTTGCGGCAATGTAATTCTTGGAGAAAACTGACTGACCGACTTCTCCTTGTAAACTTCTACTGACATTCGTACCCGTGATGAATGTCTCCAGAAAGGCACGCAAAACAATGTCCTCAAAGACTTCGGTTAATAGTAGTACTTCATATGGTAAACATGAATTGAGACATGTTAAAGTAAATTGCACGTACATTTTGTCGTAACAATTGCCTTTGAACCGTCCTTTGTAGATGGACCCCGTGCAAGGGATACAAAATGTGGCCCTGTAGCAGATGTTGGTATGTCGCTTTCCTTTGGCGTTGTTGGCTTACAGGTTGGCTCTGCAAGGAAATTGCACTGTTAGACGAGTCAAGCCACCCGCCTTGACGTTGTGAGCAATGAATGACCTGAACATAATAACAATTCAGAAGAGAATGCACCGCAATATTCACTGAATATTACAACGGAGAAAGTTTTTACTAGTAATTGTTACCTCAAACAACGGAATTCAAAATAATGATTTATTTATTCCGAATAAAACTGCATGAGCACAGAGTATCGGCATGACTAGAAAAAGATAGTTAGGAACAATAAGAGCTAGTTACATTAAAGTTGATAAACTCAAAGTCATCGTGGAAAATATACATTTACACCAAATTGATAATAAAATACAAAGAAATAATTGTTTCTTGTATTAATACAATAAAGTTGTCGTATAGGAAATGCACCAAATATTTAACAACACTGTAAAGACACACTGTTTCTGAGCTATACCTTAGTTCGTTAGCAATTATATTCAACACATGACATGATACTCACTTTCACATATATACCCATGCCTTTTCATTGTACAAGACAAATCATCAAACAAACCATAGAACTTGTTATAATCCTTGTACATTACAGCACATCTTTCATTATTTCTACCATTGGGTTCGCCTGGTGCCCAATAGGATTCATTCACTGTGCTGTTATTACTTATCCACCTCCAACTTCCGTCTTTGTCTTTGGTTAAACCAATGTAGTATTCAATTTTGTTTCCTGGAAATTTGTTTATAGTGTCTTTCACAAAGTTCCACTCCTCGTTACTTTCAATAGAAATAAGGTCACTTCCATTAACTTTGCACATGCCTCTGCTCTTATCAAAATCAACTGACCTCTGTTGAGATTCAGCATAAAATGTGTACCGGGAACAGCCGTCAAGGAGCGTCTGATCTTGAGAGAAAAAGAAATTATCCCACGTTTCAGTGATTAATATGAAAGAAACCGATAACTGAAACATTATCTTTCAATCGGGAAACAAAATCTCTTTCGTTATTTCTGAACGCGCTTCTGCTCGATCTTCTAAAAGTTAAACTCATATTTTGATGTCGCATCAAATGTCTACAGGGAACAGCCATAAATACGTGTCTGACCTTGAAGGAAAAATACTTTAAAAAAAATTAAATATTTATATATGATATTATTCTCCTTAAAAAAAGTATAAACAAAATTGTGTTGGATATATTTGGTACTATAGTTTAGGTATCTTGACAGGGTCGACAGTTGGTAGACTTTGCTGGCTTCAGAGACTTCAATAACTGTTCAACTGACTTGATAATGATATCAGTCATTTTTTTAATTCTAGTGTATGGTCATGAATTGCCTTCCTGCCGGTTTGATTACGACCGTGCTGAATCAAAATAAAAATCCTCAAAACTTCATCACCGGCATTGGAGACCAGCTCAACGTCGATTCAATTAACGAGAAGGTGCAAATCAGAAGTCATTAATTGCCTCTCGTCGTTGTTGAAGTCTCTGAAGCCAGCAAAGTCTTCCAACTAACATAACAGTTGATCATCATCACGCAAAACTTAGAGTACAGAATATTAAATTCTCCTCACCGATCATAGCACCTCCTTGGACTTGAAGTGTTAGTCCTAGCACGCTGAGAACAGCAGTGATCTCAACAAGACATGTAAACCCTTTCTCCATCATTGACCAGCCTCACTGGTTTTATAAGCAGGTATGTTCGGTACTGGAACTTCCAGATCGTAGTTAAAGCTTCAGTACTGATGTGTTTGCTGAAACGGAATTGATAACCTTTCTGAATTAGCGGCTCTTAATTGAATCCCGAATAAGTAAGTTAACGAAGCGTGACTACAAAAGGCTATTTTGTTTTAAAGTAGGGGGAATCAGAAAGGTAGAACAGCCGTTTTGAAAAGTAAGTCGTATGGGATGACTATTGGGGAGATGTTTGCGTGAAATGGTAAAGGGGACCGATAAAAACTTGATGAGCAAAGCTATACAAAATTGATAAGAGTGATAGAGAACTCATAAGAGTTTTATCTACTTTCTCTATAACATTTTATTAGGCGTTCGCAATATATATCGGCACACATCCACATGGTGGGAGCGTTGATCCCCTCTGGGTTGACGCTCTAGTCAGGTTAATAATGCTTATCCTCAATACTTTTTCTCTTTCTCTAGTTTCAGAAACTATTAAGAATGAGAACGGGAAAAACTTAAAAAAACCGTGACAACGTTGTTCAGACTGAAACCCTTTCAACACTGGACATAAAGAAATTACCATCGAGAAAATAGTTAAGATTTGTTTGAATATTAGTATGCGACATTGCTCCCACTCAGCTCATTCTCAGTTTCTTCAAACTACGAGGTAAAACTCGTGGTGGCCAGTCAACCCCATTTTCCACATATGATTTAACAGTGAATAATTCAACAAAATTTTCAGGCTAATAATTTTTTTAAATAGGAAGGTTCAATCCTGGGCCAGTCCGCCTGAGCTAAAAAAGTATGTACCCTACATTCTTTTTTCTTTCACAAAATGACAATTCATTATTTGGTTTTGTCAAGAGATGATCTTCCCTAGTTGTACGCTCTCCAGGTAAGAAGCCCGTTATAGAATCCCCTTTGCGATTGAAAGGAAGTGAA